ATATATATATATATATATATATATATATATATATATATATATATATATATATATATATATACATATATATATATATATATATATATATATATATATATATATATATATATATATATATATTCATGTATATGTATATTTTCCTCTCCGTCTCTTTATTTGTCTATCTACCTGTGTATCTATCTGTTCATACGTCAGTTTGTTTGTCTATCTAGCTGTTCATCCATCTGTCTGTTTGTCTCTCCGTTTGTCAGTCCGTCTCTCTATATATCTATGACTGCATGTCTATAGGTTCGTCCGCATATGTATCTGTCTGTTCATCTATTAGTTTATTCATCTATATGCCTGTGTACCTGCATATTCATCCGTCTGTCTGTCCATTTGTCTATCTATCTGTCTGTCTGCATGTCTCTCTATCAATATGTCCATCTGCCTATTACCCTATTTGTCTGTCTGTTTGCCTTGTTATCTGTCTCTCTGTTTATCTGTTTACCTGTTTATTTGCCCATCTGCTTATAGATATATGTGTCTATCTAATTGTCTACCGTCGCTTATATACAAAATATATACATACATATATAGATAGATAGATAGATAGATAGATATTGATATAGATATATATATGTATATATATATATACATATATATATATATATATACATATATATATATATATATATATATATATATATATATATATATATAAATAATATATATATATATATATATATATATATATATATATATATATATGTACACACACTCTCTCACACACACACACACACACACACACACACACACACACACACACACACACACACACACACACACATATATATATATATATATATATATATATATATATATATATATATATATATATAAGTATACATATTTGTATCTATCTATCTATCTATCTGTCTATCTATATATATATATATATAAGTTTTGAGGTAATAACGGGAAGATGATATAATTATTGAGAACTCTCACGGGTTTTATTACTATATCGAACGGGTAATTGCCAGAATCCAAGTGCTCCAGTCTCGATTTTTTTAAGGTTATGCGACAAGGACTCTTTAAAACTACGAGCGGTATATAAAAAAGTCCATCTGTAAAGAAAGAAAAAGTAAAATAGGTGTGGCGTCACTCGGCAGTAATATCCAACAAGGTCCTACTCTATGCGACTCGACATTTTTGCCGCGTAGATGTAGGTCACGTGATTGACATAACTCGACACGCGAATATTCGAGTAAAAGAAGTAAAGAGAGGGAGAGAGGATGAGGGGGGGAGGGGGTAAAAGCAAGGAAAAGTGATATTCGAAATGTTACCTCACGGAAAAATGTTCTTTCGCGGTTGAGGAATAAGGAGAAAGCTGTTCGGTCAGCCGCTGAAACTGTGCGTCTCTCTCTGTATGGGTACAGTGCTTGCAAGCGCCCATTAATGTAAATTTTTATATAGGTAGATACAGGTATATATAGTTAAATAATTCCCCTTGAATGTAACGCTTTATTGTTTGCAAATGAAAAACAAAACAAAGAATTACAAATCAATAAATAACAATGATAATAAGTAAATAAAGCAACTGATGGTAATGACGCCCCACGTTTTCTTCCCTACGCACTTTTCATTCACTGACTTGCGGTTTTCACATTTCACTGCGAACGTTGGGGCTAATGATACGTTTATATTAACGCCCTAAATACTGAAAATATTAGAAAGAAGGGATGAAAGTGTCCTTGCTGACTGTGGCTGTATGCACACCACTGGAGCGCGCAGAGAGTGAAGGGAAATTTTGGGTGATATGGCTGACAACACCCACGCGTCACCATACATTTTCTAAATCATACGTGTGGTCTTTAATTAAAGGAAGGATTTCTTAGCGGTTGGGCATTATATTTTGATAAAGTTCGATTAAATAGCTTTGTATTTTTTACAAAGTTGAGATTGAGACTCTTTTTTTTATTTACTACGATAACAATAGGAATCTGTGAAAGGTACTTTTAAATGCCTTTAAAATGTTTCTACATTGTCAAAAAAGGCAAAATATTTAATGTTGCGGTTAGATGTATATTAAAAAAGGTTTTATATAACTATTAAACAACCACCCTTATCTCCATTCGAGATTGATTGTCGTCGAGACTCATTTTTGCCACGATATTTTGTTTTATTTTTATTTTTTTCCCCTTCCATTTTCTTATATAAATCTACGGCGTTAATGACCTCCACAGTTCCACGCAATCCAAAAAGAAATAATCGTCTTGTGGTCATCGCGTCGGACGTGACTTCGCTGTGAAGATAACTGGGCGGGAAAACGAGCCTTGGAATCGATCCGTCGCGGGGAAAACAACGGGTCTATGGGAAGCTGTTGCACTTCGCTGGCGATTCTAAAGCGGGGAAGCTGGGAAAGAAAAACGAACAATTAAAAATATATATATATATATATATAAGTTTTGAGGTAATAACGGGAAGATGATATAATTATTGAGAACTCCCACGGGTT